AGCGACATATATTGTTTGATCTTCATCAACATACAAACCGCATGGGTTTGAGAGTTGATTGATTCCATTTTCTTCTCCATTTCTTCCAGCAACAGTGATACCATTCTGTTGCCATCGAGCATTTGGATGAATGCCAATTGAACTTCCACGTAATGGAATCACTGAAAATGAGAGAAACAAGAGAATAATATGATTAAATAAAAGAGAAGACAATGTGAGAGAGCCAGAGACCACATAGAGAGAAAAAAGTGAAAAGTTCATTTGAAGTTTTGCAAAAATTAACATCATTTCAAGTTTCGATTTGTTTTCTCGACATTGTTTTTTTTCTTTTTTATCTCTTCTTTATAACAGAAGTGGATACATAATATATACGCATTGTGAGTGTTTTATCTTCTTTATACGTTTTGTTTTTCTTCTTCTCATACTTTTGGTAATATACATACATATATATATATATATATCTTTACCAATATATACTTATGTACATAGTTACATCCTTTTATAATTTCTACAAAAAATAAAAACATAGAAAAAGCTTACAGTTTATGAAATATACATATATATCGTCAATGTCAAGATGACATCTATTTAATATATAAATACTTTTCAAAAACATAACTTTATAGTCCCAAAAAAAACAAAGCTTGTTAGCGCAGCCCCTTTGGGGCTAAAATGTGGAACTCACATATCTCCTTTGGTTTCATTATACTAATGACACAATGCCCAATATTTAAAATCTCCAAAAGATAATAGTTCTTTTCTAAAGATAATCGATTTTTAGAAAATGCTATATTTTTATCTCTCAATTTCGAACAGAATTTTTTTGCATGAAGTTGCCAAGGCTGCAATGGGGGTTGTCTGTAATGGTAGCCTATGTTGCTATGGTCTGTAATGGTGGGGTGTCTGTAATGGGGGGCTGTCTGTAATGGGGGGTTGTCTGTAATGTTCTCTTTCCCGTTGCTATGTGTCTGTAATGGGGTGGGAGGAAAAGGGGAGGGGAGGGGAGGGGAGAGGGGGAGCCGCCAAACCTCGAACTGAAAACTTACACTCACTATTTTCTTTGAAAACATACGTGAGTTTCACAAAATAGCTCTTTAGTATATCCTAGTTTTCTCTGTGGGTCTTCATTCTAGACATTTAATTTTTTTTGTTTTTGTTTAAAAGAGCATGTCAGAATGCAGAGACTCTCATGACCCTTTGTCTTAAAGTCTTACCTTTTAGGGAAAAAAAACCGGAGCGAAAGTTCAATGACTCAAAAACCTCTCTAAAAATTGCGCTGCTCCGATAGAGATGTTATCTTC